TTTTCAGTTTCACCACAAAGCAGGGAGTGACCTCCTGCTAGAACACAGCTGTGTGGTTAACCCTGGTCCTTTCACAGGAAGCAACGGGACTGGATGCTAAGATCTGGGGTAATTTTTCACAGTTCAAAGCCAAGAATCACTTTTGAGTTTTATTAACCTTAAATCAACAAACCATTTTTAGTTTCAAGCCAAGATTTGTCTTAGCAAAATGCAGTTACTGCCTGAAGATTCACAGATACCAGAGTGAAAGAGCAGATAATAAAAGGTTTTAATCTTTTAGTAAGATACACACAGGGTAAATCTAAACATAACCTTCCTGCAAGGTACACAGCATAAAACAGCCTTGAAGAGAATTGTTGTAGAAAATTATATTCTATTTCAGGCTTCCCTAAATAAATCAGGGGAATTTGTCCAGCACTCCTCACTTTGAACTCACAGAAAGCTCTGACTCACTCCTTTGCAATACTTTCTAGTAGGAGGTTCACAGGGTCAACTTTTATCCCTAATCTTGTGGAACATTCCTCAGTGCCTCCAATCCAGCAGCTCTATGCATGCCAAAATACAGACTGCAAAACTCTGGCAGTGAATTCAAACATGAATTACAGGCTGAGTAACTCCAGCAGTGCTCCCACCTTACATTACTTACACCTATATCTCTTCATAAATTGCACTCAGAAAAAAACAAGACCATGTGTTTCAAAGCTTGAAATTAAGGTGTGATTGTGAATTTTTATGCTCTTTGCATCTGTCAGGGAAGAAAATGTTTCATTAGATTAGTAATAAATGCGTATTTAAGTTTGATAACAGCCTTACTACTAAACCACTCTTACTTGTTTTCGTCAACTTTGTTCTACAAAGAAGAAAGAATTGTATTTTCCTTTTATATTGCCTTTAAATATCAAAGGCAAATGCCATTTTTTTACCTACAGAACTTAAACCAAGCTTTCAGAAAATAAAGCAGCACTATGAATTAAGTCTTGAGATGAAGAAATATGGTTTTCAATAAGCAACTTCACAGCAATAAAAATCTTGACTTGGTAAAATATTCATATATTCAACTGGAAATTAAATAAGAAAGCATCAAAATCTTAAAAGCATTCTAAGGCCTTCTGGACTGCACATACTGGGGGGTGCAGTAAAGAAAACCCAACTTTTGTGAAATGTTCGGTCTGGTATGAACCTGAAGACAAAAAAAAAAAAGATACTTAACACATGCTTTCAACACCCATCTACAAATACTAAAGCAGGTATAGACAACAGAAATCAAAGATTTTTGCATTACAGGGGAATATTAAAAGTGATACCTGAGGTCAGTGTGTTTCTGCTAAGAACCAGATGCAAATACAACAGACTTGTCTCCTGGTGCATGTAAAGCAAGTAGAGCTCTGTTGACTAGAAACATAATTAAAGTGAGAAACACAGCAAAAGAGGGTGTGGAAAATGAGTGAAGCATGGCCCTGACAATAACTGAATCAGCACTCACAATTCAAGCATCCCTAGGCATTTTCCACAGTGAAAATAACTACAAATTAATGTCTCTTTCTATAACCTCAGACCTACCTGGATCCCTCTAAAAACTATCTTGCATCTTGTCTTCCTTTTACTCAGAAGGCACTGACAGGAGAGACCCCAGAAATACCTTTCAGTAAGGTTTTGCTGTAGAAGCATTTCAAGGAAACATCAAGTTCTAAGTCATGCAGTTTGTCATGACACTTGGCACTAGACACTGTGACCTTGGAACATGAATTCAAAGTAAAATGTCACATACCTTGGCAAATTTCATGCATACATCTTGTGGGACAGTTCCTGTGCTCTTCCACAAAAACCCACAGAACAAAAAGGTGCTGGAAGGAACTCTTTCAGAAGGCAGTGTGAACACAGCATCACCCTGTGCATTGGCATTCAATCTTCAAAATGCAGCACACATTCAGCAATAGCTGTTGGTCCTCTGACCTCAGGTATGGAGCATTTCAAAATGTATCAGCAGTACATGTGAACAGCTGTTACACTTCTGGAACAAGATCTTGTAATATGCATACTTCAAGTTTATATAGATTTATTCCCTTATGAAAATACCCATTGTAAGTGATTTGAGACATGGTTTTGGACCTTCATACCCTTGTTCCATAAAATATATAAATCCAAGTAGGAGGCAAGATTTACTTAGGAATAGTATTCTAGAAACATTCACATTTTATTTTTCTTAGTCTGAAATCAGCCACGTTTCTAGCTAATATCACAAACACAAATTCCTCCTACAAAACCACAGCATGTACCTGTAAATGAAAGAAGCCCCAATTCACACCAAGACAGCAAGAGTTCAGAAAACATTGCACCTCAGCTTTCTCCGAGTATTTGCAAACATTCAGAAGAGATTTATTCTGTACAGAACACAAGCTTTGCAATTTACCAAAGAAAAGAGCAAGGCATAAGTATTTCCAGCCTTTGACTACAATGAGATCTGGTGCAGGAGCTGTAGGATGGAACAGCAGCTCGAAGCAGTTGAGTCCAAGGTCTATTTGTGTAGACTCCTTGTGCTTTCTGGTGCAAGTAAAACTCAAGTAGAAATGGTTCTGCAAAGGTATATTGCGAAATTAAGTAGTCCTGTTAAATGAAATAGTGCTGTTAATAACCAAGAGGGTCATTTCCCCCCCAGTCAGTACCTGAGTTGGAAGAGTTAGAATAAGAAATAAATTGTATCACTTTCCCATCAGGCTTGACAACCCAGCATGAAAGGAAACAAATCATTTGTGGAGTGTAAAAGATCCGCCCCATTGAAAGGAACAAAAAACCTATGAAGAGCATTTTTTTACGGAACAGCAGCCCAGTAATAATTCCCCATCTATTAAGGTCAAAGAAATAGCTACTCAAATGGAGGACAGCAGCTTTTCATCATCTCCTGTGATATTTACACTGCTACAGAGCTGGCTCTAGTAAGTCAATTTCCATCCAAGAAATGTGAGCGTTATCCAATGTTTCATGTGGTAGACCTACAATTCTTATTCAGTTCTCATCCCTGTTCCAGAAGTTGTCAAGCATGGGAAGATGTTCAACAAGCAGCTGTGCATATCTGAAACTACTTCAATTATACAAACAAAAAGGTCAATATAGACACGGAACAGAATGCCAAGCTAAGAGGTCTACATTAAGAAAAAGTCTACACATCAGATGCTTAACACAATTTCCTCCTTTGTTTAGTCACATTCAGTGTTCTGTTGGCTGTTTAATAGGCACCTATTTCGTGAGGAACCAAAGAGGTTATGTGGTTTCTACTTTTGTAATTTTAAAGCCACATTATTTAAACCAAGCAGATAAAGCAAGTTTGTGTTTGAATGGTCCCAACCCTCAGGGTACTGCTGCAGTGTCTGTGTAAACCTGTTGTGATCTTAAACGTGTCTGACAGTCTGCCCTGGCACCTCTGCACCAGGCACACTGGGCTCTAGCACCTATTCTCACCATCTTCCTTCTCCTCCCTTCCACACCAGCAGCTGGGAAAGACAGCTGCTGAGAATGTGGGATCTGTGAGAGCCAGGTTCATGCAAGGAATGGTAACTGAGCCACTGTGTCAGAAGGGAAACATTCAAACACCATCACCCATCAGTACAGAAAAGTCAGTTTACACTGAATTCCCTGACAACTCCATTCAGTGTTTTTCTTCTAAACAAAAAACAGTCTGTGCAGCTCTGATGTCTTATTGACAGCTTCAACACTAAGACAGAAGGCAAAGCCATGTTTCTTTCCACAGCATATCAAGAATACTTTAATAACCAGTAAGATTCAGATCAGCTTTAATCAAAGCATAGGGAGCTGTGTATTTAAGCAAGAATAACTTGTATTCAAATAATCATTACTGATGTCAAATTAACGTTCTGAGTCATTACCCTTGAAATGTCAGTGAGCAGAGCATGTCATTCACACATCCATGATCTACATCAGCACACAGCCTCAGAAGGACAACACAATCAGTGTTCACTTGTCAACATGAAGTCCTGTTTCTTTTTCAAGTAAAACATTCGGTAAACACTTCAGCATTTTCTTTGAATTGAAATTATGGTACAGCAGGATGGAATTTTATCCATGTGATACTGAGCAACACAACAACTTTTAAGGGTTTTTTAAAACAATCAACTGGATTCAATGAAGTCAGCTGAAATGAAACACGACAAAGACCTCCCCAGAAGCTACTGCCTTGCAGTTGCCTTTTTATGAACAGAAATTTCATTACATAGTGAAACCCTTAAATTTATCAATGTGGGACAGGCACCACACGTGATCAGAATGAATGAATTCTCACTCAACTTTCAAGAGAACTTTCTTTTGCTCTTACAGCCGCAATCCCGATCCCAGATTATATCTATATATGAAAATTCAAGCTGGAACAAGGCAGTTCTTCACAAGCCCCATCCATTATTTGGAAGTATACTGAACAAAAGATCGCCTGTACCTTGCAATGTAAGAACAGTGCAACAAAATCTTTTATTGCTGACCAGGAAACAGTTTCACGTGATTAAAACAAACACTTGTGCCCTTGTTCAAAAACAGTCAGATAATTAAGAAGTATCAGACACTAATCATGTCCATACAGTTTAAGTCTGCTTCCTTGTGTACAAACACAAGAAAAACAAATCACTATTCTTCTGCAAAACTAAGCCTTATTCACTGTGAGACGTTTTTGAGTGAAATGAAGGCAATGGTTCTGGTACAGTGAATCGCTTCTCATGAAGTTATCTTAGTAAGAAGGTTCTGCAGGTATGTCTAAAAACTGTTAGCAAATATACACAAGGAGGCAGGATTGATGAGAAGCTACAGGTAACCTTAGATTTACAGCCTTACTACTGCAACTCTGAAAAATACAAAATGATTTTGTAGGAAATTTTTTTAAATAAAACATCTTTTACATGATTGCAAGTGCATAGTTTACAAGTTCAGCCTTGTCTGCCTGTTGTCAGTTTTACAGCAAAGAGGGACAATGCTTTGACAGATGACAAATACAGGATAAGCCCTTTATCATGTTCCACTTTTATTGAACATTTTCTGCAAATGCAGATTACAACCCTGGTTGAGGTTGCACGCATCAACTTAAGCCATAATAAATCAGTGTTTCTGAAATCCAAATTCTAGTGGTAAGGGTTAGGTAGTGGTCAATTTCTGTAGTTAGAGAAATTACAACAGTGTAAGTGTCACTCATAAAAGCAGTATGGTGCAAGAGGCTCTTTGGTGCCAAAAAATTGTCAGTGATGCATTTATGAATGCTACTGAGTAAAAAGCAATCTAATTTACAACTCCTCCTCGCAGTGCTAGAGAAACATTAAAGGACACTGGAGACCCCCTCATCTTGAGCAGTCTGCGAAGAAATATCACCATTACAGAAAAGCTGTATAAAAATCAATGACAAAAGACTTAAATCAGAAGGTATATCCTATCTTTCATCCTGAAATACAGGTCAGGTACGGCCCAGCTCTACAGCAGGCATATTAAATAATCAGATTTAAAGTGATCTACACATTGAGACCTGAAAGATCACTGCCTTAATCTCACACCCATGTATATGGGCATTTATGTGGCAATGTACTTGCATCATCTAAATCTTCAGTAGCGCCTAAAGAACAAACTGCCTCCACACCAGCATGCACCCAGAACAGCCATATGGCAAACACCTAGAAGGATGTAGAAACCCCAGATTTCAAGTGAAGTCTAAGAAATCCTAAAGAAACTCACAATTCATGTCTCTACTGACTCGTGATTTCTTAAACCGGCTGAGTGTAACAAGAACAGAGTTACTTGTGAGGTTTTTCCAAACTACAATGTATAGGCCGATCCTCGCGTAGATATACACATATGTACAAAATGTATAGAAAAACAAGAGTCCTGTAGGCAAGATTCCTATCTTGAGTGGAAAGACACTACATATACCATAAAGGAGAAAAAGGGCCAATTCTGCCAGCACGAGCACTCGTGGTTCCACACCAACCTCAGTCATTATTGCATGCATTACCTGCCCAGAGTCACAAGTACCTCTGGTGCAGCTGAGCCCACTGACTAAACTGCTCTTCCAGTACATCTCACTCTCAACCTGATCTAAAAGTCAAGGTACTACTTCACACGCCAATAAAAGAGGAGGAAAGAAAACCCTCATGTGACTTGCTACAGAAACAAGTGTAGTTATTTGCACAACCTGGCTGGGTTTAACACAACTGCAAATCTCCATTTCAAAACAGACTACTCTACCTCGCGACACCTGCATGGTCAGAAACAGAAAAGAGAAAATACACAGCTTCTCAGACACTCAGAACTACCATCTCTAAAAACCAAATTTTCTGTTTCTTTTAAAATGCAAATTTGCTTCACTGAGCTACCACTGCAAATCCTACTCTTTCCCTTCCAACCGTGCCTGCCTCAGCATTCCAGATGACAGCTGAGGCATTTGCACCCTCTAGCTGTCACAGGGAGGACACATTACTTATATCTAACTTACATTCATTTTCAACTTCAAATTTATTGAGGCAGTTTATATCAATGTATCCATAAAATAATTCAGAAATAACCCAAGTATACCATTTAAACATCTTCATGATTTATCCATTTACACACTCAGTACACAAACAACCCAGCCTCTGTACAAGTTCATCACATGCAAACCATCCATAAAGACAAAAACTTTAATTAAAAATAAGTCACAACTCAGTGTACTGTTTCAACTGCATCTCCATTTACCAAATGGCACATTGAATATTCTCTAAAATAAGATGTTTTTAACAATCTTGTTAAAAAATTCTTGGGCAAAATATTTCTAGACTTAAAAAACATCAAGATTTTTCAAAACACTCAAGATACTATACAACTTATAATAACCTTGAAATAGGTTTACAAGGTTGTTAACCAAGGTATTTACATACCAAATAATGTAAAGCAAAAAATTTGTATTTCTAATGACAAAAGTGATGCATTAAAGATTTATGAAATTAAAATTAAGGCTCTTTGTTATAGTTCTTTATGTAACTTTACATAATAGCCAACTTTGGAAATGTCAGTCTTGCACATTCTTGTCAATCTACTGCATTTAAAGCAGTAGGGTATATTAAGTATTACTTTGAATAATTACATTGCTACTTCTATGTTTGAGCATGCTTTTGAAACACTGTAATTATGAAATATTTACAATGTGTAGCCTTCAAACTTTATGTAAAAGCCCAAGTATGACTGTCTGATTTGAATACAAACAACATACTTGTAAAAACACTTTTACTTCTCAAAATTAAATGTAAACTACTAGAGTTTTAACAAGCAAACCAGCTTTGAAAAGTTTCAACGTGTGCCTGAATGTGGACAGTAAAAGTTATGTGAAATTTCTCAGACAGTACTGTTTTTCATTTCAAACTGAACTATTCATTGTATCAGCTGTTTTCTGTAAGCATGTAGAAAAATTAAATATTTTTTTAAAAAATTATTCCAAGACCTACATATACTTTGAGCTATGTCCATAGGCTTCTTGAAAACTCAATACTGTCTTGCAGGTTGTAGTGATTGGTCCACAGTTTATTTCAGGATGTGTGTTCAGCTAAAAGAACTCCCTGTTTTTCAACGTCATTTTTCTTAAAAGCACAATGATAAAAAACACTGAAGACAAAACAAAAAAAAAAAAGGAATGGTAACCTCAAGATCAAATTCATTAGCCATTTCTCCTACTATATCAAAATTTGTAGTCAGAATTGTCTTTATTGACTTTATTTTTAATTTTTGTACACAAAGAAAAACATGTTCATATCCATCATGAACAAAAACTTAAAAAGGCAGAACTAGAAGACATTTGTGTCCTTCACCAAAGCAAAGCTGTGCTAAAGGTTCCAAACATTTCCATTTTTAAAATAAATATTTTCTTTTTTTTTTAATTGTCTACATTCCAGTCTTCAGAATGTCACTGGAAACTGCAGCCTATCATGAAATACACACTTTTAAACAGAGTCCCAGCTCACTGCGTTTGGTAGCTTGCCATACCATATCCAGCTTGGTTAGGTATTACAGGAGCACCTTGTCCCTGGGCAGGTTGAGCACCAAATCCACCCATCCAGGCAGCAGATGGAGATTGGCTTAAAAAGAAACAGGATGGTTAAAAAAATGGGGAAAAACAACTTAAATAAAAAAACAAACAACCAAAAAAATACTTCCTACACAACTACTGATATGAAAATAGAACAATTTCTTCTTCTTTTTAATGAGTAAATCAGGTTAAGCTCTACAACATGTGATTCTTGAAAATATCATGAGCTGTTTAAGAACAAAGGAGAAAAAAACCCCACAAACCTTGGGTACCAGCTGGATATGGCACCTGCCTCCAAAGGCATGAACACACACAGGTGGCTGGAACTCAACATCAGTGATGCAGAAATGCAAGAAATACCCAATACCTCATGGGCATGAACACCAGTGATAGCTCTATCAGGGCTTAATATGTTTAACTGGCACCAGATAATGAAGAACTAAGCAAACAAGTTATTTCAAAATTATGTTAAAACAAACAGTTCTTTTGAAGACTTCAGTCTCTGAGAGATCCATTATTAAAAGCCCACCCAAATTCTGAAAGTGCACAAGTTAAAGTGTCTGTGTTCCTTCTCTCCCTGCAGGCAAATATCCGGGCTCCTGGCTCAGACTCACCCAGGATAGATTTAGATACCAGACAAGACCACCACCCAAACTTTTCCTCACTGGGTGGTCTTTGTGCCTCCATCACACACGAAATGTGCCATCAGGTACAAGTCTGAGCTACTCACCCCAGTATCTGCTTATATGCACTGAACATAAACTTTAAGCACACAGGAGTCCCCCTAAAGTTTGAAACCTTGTTCAATCCTTGACCCAAATGAGCCTGAAACTTAAAGCTACAGCACTCTTGGAATAGTCTAAAAAAAATTAAATATAAGTACTCACTCTACTCCAAAACCCTGTTGATTCCATGCTTGGCCATACATTCCATATGATGGTACTTGCCACCCATTTGCCATATATTGCCCATACTGTTGTGGATTTCCATATACTTGGCTCCATTGTCCCCACTGACTGTAATCCACCTGCAGAAAGAATAATCCATTGTACTTCAGATTCTAGAGATGGTTTACATTGCATTTGTGCTGCTGAAGGCAAAGTTTTGGCTATATCACTCAAGAGAGCTAAAACAAGCAATAATGAGATCTGAAAAATAAGATGTCACTATGACTTAATTAGATCCTTGTACTGAAAAATTTGTGTATGCTTGAAACCCCAAAGACTATTTGGTTGGACAGCCACCTAATCTGCAGTTAGCAAAACAGCAAGAATTAAAATTACCTCAAAGTTTCTCCCTATCTTGGATCATATCCAGAAGACAGTAACAGATATTCCATCAAAATCACTAGCCCAATTTGATGAACTGGAACATAACTGAGACAGAACATGGAATTTCATAAGAACTCCACCACAAAATTTAGCCATTACAACTGGGAAGTCATTACAGGTATAAACACAATTGCTTTTGTAATACAAAGAAAAGGTTAAGTACAGTTACCTGTTGGAAATTTTTAGTCATATCAGGGGATTCTTTACCCCAATAACATTTAACAACATGTCCTTCAATTGTGGTTCCATTAACTGAAACAATAGCGTGTGCTGCACTTTCATGGGTTGAAAACCTAAAAAATGTAAAAACAAACCAGTGTTACATTTTACAGTACTTCCACCTGATTACTTAAAAAACAGTGACCCCATACATACAGGAAATCCAGAGAAAAACATCTGCTTTCACAAACATTCATCTTCTCAGGTAAAAATGTTGGTGGCCCTTTTTAAAAGTTCCAAATTATTCTATTAATATATGGTGATAGTTTTTATTGTATCAGGACAAGTTCAATCAAGTGAAATTACAGAGAAATGAAGTGTTACTACATGCACAGACCCAGAGATTTTGCTTTCTCTGTCCATACCTGACAAATGAGTAACCTTTTTCTGGAAACACCCTTATTTCCATAATCTGTCCAAACGGTGAAAAAGTCTGTCTCATAAGCTGATCTACAACATAAGATGTTTTTGAATTAGTGACCATCCCGGTGTCCAAAAAGTTTCAATAATACAAAATAAGAGAATACTTCATACCTGTTAGACCCGAGGCAATTCCTCCACAGTACACAGTACAATTTTTTGGACTTGACTGATTTACTACATCTTCAAATCTCAACTGTTTTGTATTATCTATAAAGAGAGAAGGCTGGATTTCAGCAGTGGGCTGACAGTAACCTAGACACTTACCTCGTACACAAGCATGAATTTCACATCTAACAAACATATTATTAACAAACATAAAATATTTTATGACTATGTTGATACAACATACCCCAAAAAAAAAATCTAATCAAAATCTGGAAGGCAAGCTAATATGTGATTTAAGTGACATGATTTTGGCTTATGTTTTATTCCCCCATTGAACAGTGAAAAGACAGCAAACACAACACAGCATGACATGAAGCTCTTACTTTCTTGTGTACTTTTGGGGGCTGGTGGTTTCCTTGTTGCCCAGTTAGTTCTGATCTGGCGGCCTCCCAACCACTGGCCTCCCATGTGTACAATAGCATTTTCTGCATCCTGAAGAGATTAAAACAGAGATTTAGCACTTCCAAACAAAAACCATGTACAAATCTACTCCCAAGACTTTGCTGTCAGTTAATTCCACTGACAAAATCAGTAACAGTACTCAGAAGTGTACAAAATTCTGAACAATCATAGTAAGCAGACAAACATTAATTAACATGAAAGCAACTGGCTACAGAGAAGGCCCTCAGAAGTCATGTGGTAAAAAATTCCTCCCACCCATTTTCTCCACAGGATAGAAGCCAACTGCAATCATATATATGCTACATCTGAACACATACATGTACACACACACATTTATACCATACAAGCATCTGCATTAGAATGTCCAAAAGCTGCCCAAAAAAGTGGGAAAGTCACACAGATGCCAGAACCAATCACTGAAGTAAAACAACTATCACTAAATGTTTCTTTTGCTTCCTGGAGTTGTGCAACAGATGCCTTGTAAGTTCTCTACATGTTAAAGTCATTGTATGAACACACATGAGAATCCATGGCCCACTTTTTATCTTGAACATGAAACTGTAGACAATCTTTAAGTTCACAGTGTAAGCAGAAACATCTGGTAAGCAAGGGTGAGTTGCTAACAGCTGCAAGAAGCAATTTGTCTCCCAATAGCTTTGGAAGAAGACAGGCAGAGCAAATAGGGCACATTTGAAATGCTTTTCCAAGGGCAAAAAGCTTAAGGAAAAAACTGCCAAGCACAAGAGACAAAGAAAATGTGGACAAGTTAAAGGTGAGCTGCTCCCAGCTAGAATTCTCTTCTCAAACTCAGGACCCTGATCTTTCTAGGTTTTAATTATATCGAGTACTCATTTTGAAAACACATAAATACAAAAATGAAATTACAAAAGATGACCAATAAGAAAAGAAAAACTCAATCCAAATGATAAAACCAAACCTCCAGACAATGAAACACCCCAATTGATTGAAGCACCCTTGGCTCCTAAAGCATGGTGAATACACACTGAAGTGACTAGGAAAGGAAACACTTTCTGATGAATCTTGCTGCTATCCTGCCTGAGGATCACAGCTGAGACAAAAATGGAACAGAGTCCAAGCCAAAACTGATCCAGTCCAATGCAGGAGTTCCATTTTCTCTTAACTGTGTTATGCATTAAGAGCTCAGGCTGGAGTACCTGAAGTGGGAGCATATCCCACTTCCCTGAATCTAGCAGAATTAGACATTCTGAAAAACACAACCCTACAGATGTAGCTGCTGTGGGAATGAACAGCAATCAGGACATGAAATTTAGAGTACTTTTTAGTACTGTGTTTAGAATTCCTCCATTAATTTTGTAATACAAATTTCAAACTGGACTTTTTATGGCTTAGACTAAAAAGAATCCAGTAACTTTAATTCCATGACTGTTACAGTTCCCCCCCGGTCACAGGAACCAAACAACTGTATGATAAGGGAAGAGAAGAGGGGTACATGGAAATAGCAGCTATTTCTTGCTTTTACAGCTGTAAAACAGAACAAAGAAAGCACAACTGGAAAAAACACACTAAATCAAGGCATTCACTTGCAGTAGCTTATGGCATTAGCAAATCTGAAGAAATTACAACTTTTTCTCTGATTATGACATTTCCAGGTAACTGTTACAGAACATCAAAAGAGATCTGACATGCAGGACTTCTGACCACACAAACGGGCTTTATATGCCTAATATCCTGAAACTGTGAGTTTTTTCCTCTGCAAAATATTTAAGGAAAATGATTCACAGTTTCCCCACATTGTCCTAAACATACATACAACTCCTGTACATGTAAATTTCTTTCTCTGAAGTCTAATTAACAGCGAATACCTAAACAGACAAAACTAAAAATGGAAAATAGGAACTATTTTAAACCTGCATTGTGATTACTCACCAGTTTGTTATAAAAAGATACAAAACCATAGCCTTTTGACTTTCCAGTTGCCATATCTTTAACTACCCGTGCATCCCTGTGAAAAGAAGCACAGCTATATGAGGGTAGTATTGATAACCTGCAAAATAAAAACTAAAAGGAACCACACACACTGTATTGTGAGCATAATTTTTTCTTATAAATTCAGTTAGCCCTAAAACTACAGTCATTCCTGAACTCTCCCTATTGCTTCTTTACCTGTTAGAAAAAAGCAGTAGGACAAAAAAAATAACATGTAATAAACATGCAACCTATGCACATAACCTATACTGGCTATAACTAGAATGTTCAAATTTGAAGTATAAGAGAAACAAAGTTTCCTTTTCTAATATTCTATTGGCTAGGGTCCTCTAAGGTTTACTGTTCTATAAATTACTGTAACAATTCTATCTAATTTACCATGCATTTTCTAAATAGTTAAATGTCTTCTGCCTAGTGATACAAAATATATGAAATATTAAAAAAATCGAAAAAGAGGAAAAAATAGGAATTAAAAGGCATACATGGCCTGTTAACAGATTTCTTTATTTTTCTTGGTCAATTCTCTACCATCATTTTGGAGTTTGGGTAGCTGTAAATTTTGAAAAATTGACATTTTCAGAAATTTAAGAAAGGAGAATAAAACTAACAACAATGCTAAGCACACCAGTACGAAAACAACAAATTTACACAGAAATTTTAGTGAGTAAGTTAAAATGATTGGAAATATAGAACTGCACTGAATATAGAATGTTAAAATGTAAATACTAAAATATGTATATATAAATAATGTATAATAAGAATAAATAGAAATGAGAAAAAATCTACAACTGAGTTCCAGTGTGCACAGTTCCTTGCAGTTAGCCTTCAAGATCCTGTCCATTCTTATGAGCAATTCTGCAAAATAACCAGAATGCTATTACTTTTAATTGTGACTTGGACTTTAGAAAAACTGCAGGTCTCAGGTATAAATATAGATTGAGAAACAGAAACCTGAATTATTCTTTTTAAATTGATTTTTAAAACAGTACTACTTACCACATTAAGAGACAAAAAGCAAAGTAAACAAAACAGCAGAGGTAAGAAATAAGATTTATGATTCATTTAAAAATATGCGTACAGAACAAGAGAAAAATAAGAATTTTGTTCTTAGAAATATATTCCTGTAAAGTAGTACAAAAACGTTCATGTGCAACTTTGATTTTTATAAAGATAAACTGATAAAAGATTAACAGACTTTTTTGTAGCAGTACTCTTTAGGACATATATACTTTAGCACTCTCAAGGATTTTGTAATGTTAAATATGTTCAATTAGAACATCAGGTGATGTAGTATCACCTGAATGGTCCAAGAGAAGTTTAAAGAAACATTCTCTGAACTGGCAGAAATGTGCACATATTGTAAAGCCACCATTTTTCATTTAAGATCTTATAATTGTAATTCATCCCATTATCATCCAAAAAACCAGATTTCATTCTCACAAGTATTAGCTTTTTCAAAACAATCCCAAGTTATTAACTAGCTGCTTTATAGAATTATATTTCAATTGCCCAGTTTTCCACACTGCCTATGAAATGCAGCCAAATGCACATAAAACACACCCAAAATACAATATATACCAGTTGTCAAGTCACTACTCTGTACACATTCTCAACACCAAAAAAATCACACTTAGAGCAGTAATTAAATTTTAATAAAAGGTTGAAGGACATTAGCATATAAATTAGGTTAAAAGCACATTGCTTTCAGCAAACCAGAGCACAATTACATTACTGTATTTACATTGTGAAACACACTGAGATACAACCCCTCTTTTCTACCCACCCGCCCACCCCAAGGAAATGAACAGCAGAAAAATTATCTCAACAGATAAGAAATAACATTTCAACTTAGAAACACATTTTCACTATCACATTTTCTGACTGATAATGGAAATGTTTATAATGATACTTACGATATTTTACCAAAAGGAGCAAATGCTGACTTGATGTCTTCTGTTGTTATTTCTGGACTTAAATCCCCAACGAACACATGGAAGTGATCTGAAAATAAATAATTTACTAATCAAATATTTAACTGCTATCTAAAGTTTCAGCTCCTGAGAAAGTGATGCTCTGCACACAGCTCTGGGAACCAGGGACGCTCAGGCTTCCATGTGAAGAGCAGCAGCAATTTAATCTGTCCACTCCGGTTTCCCCAGTTGTAAAGCAGAAACAGAAGAATTAGTTTGCAAAATTCTATTAAACTCTAGATGGGAAGGAGAGAAGTTATGTTTAAATGCATTTATGATAAATTATTACCACTTTGTGAAGTATTTGTGCAGAAGTGATACTGTGGCATTACATTACTTACTGGATGTATCTTTTTTCTGGCTACTTGGTGTTGTTGCCCAGTTTACTTTGACCTCCTGAAAACAAGTATAAGATTTAGTATAAATTCACAAAATTCTTACATTTCATAAGCTCATTCATGGGTGGGTTACAACTCTCAACATTTATAAATCACCATTTAATATAAAACACCATCATCAATAGAAGATCACAAATAATACATTTCCTAAACAAGACTTTTTTGTATATCAATACTTTTAAAAGATTATTCTATCAATATTTAATCTTGGTAAAACATCTTCAATAGTTTTACTAATATTTTCACACAAATCTATATTCTTTAAATCTAAGATTACCACGTGAGCAACTTACCTTTCCCAAAATTTTTCTCCCATTCATAGCAGCTAATGCAGCAGCTGCATCTCTGTGTTCATAAAATTCCACAAAGCAATAAGGGTCATTGCTTGTATGCTGCAAAACAGAAAATCCAACAGAAGAGTTGACCCTTCTGCTATCGGGTTGCTGAGAAGAAAATCCAGGAAAATATATTACTTACAGCTAGAAAGGTTCAGAATGATTTGCATCAGATTTATGAAATAGCCTTTGACATTACACTTAAATGCAAGAATTCTTAAGATGGATTTTTTATTAAAGGTCTTGCAGTTTCTGAAGGATAGCTTGCTGGAATGAGGACTGAAGTTTACTGAACTAAAAATAACTGATCAGAAAAGTGACCTGCAAACTGCATGGAAAGGGGGGAAAAAGGGGAAGAATGGAGAGAAGAAAAAACTGCCTCATGCATATACTCAAAGCTAGGAAGGTTTATTCCCCAGACACATTTTCACCAATTTTCTCTTGCCCTACTTAAGAAATCTTTCCCTTTTTTTGACTGAAAACCACCAGCAGGCAGCAACCTGGAACCTGCACAGTGTCAGTCTCAAGTGAAAAAAGCCAATGACTGGGAAATAATCTTTTAAAAGAACTCAAAATAGTCTGAGAGAAAAGGATACTAACCAACTGACTGTTAACTCTGTTAAACCTTGAGTACAACCTGTTTTTGTAGGATGGCCTATCAAATCACCTTTAAAAATACTCACTGACAGAGGTCACTCAAGTGATAATTGTACCAGAGTATAAAGTGCAAAGAACAGAAGAGTTTTCTGAAAAGCTGATCAGGTGGAAAGGATGCTGAGAAAGCCAACTTGAACACTGGATTTGATCTACCTCCAAGATGTAATGAGTACAACAAAAACTCTAACCAAATCATTTCCATTAACTATTCAGCACGTGCATGGACCAAAAGATGATAAACACCAATATTACCCTAACCAAGTTATTTCTCACATGGAAAGGGAAGGGTCTAGCAGAGAGGAACTGCTCTGGCATCAGTATTCTCACTATCAACCTCCCCCAGTGCAGGTAGAACACAGCTGTAACACAAGCTAAGAGAAGCCTTTTCAGCACTCCTATTTAACTTCTCACAACCCATACACACTTACACTGATGAACAATTCTAATCCTTCCCCCTAAAAACTGATTGTACAGCTTAAACGTAGTTCTGTCTACTCGTGAAGCTGTGAAGATGCAGCAGCTGAATGGATCTCAAGGCTTTTATACACCTAAAATGGTCTTGGAGTCTGAAGTCATCCTCCTGAATGCTGTCACTGCCTGGGGCCTCCAACTGATGCACAATGAACAGATGAGACAAAATGCACCTGAGATCATAAAGAAAGTTTCAGCCACAAAGTTCTCTACAAGCACACTCACCTCAGATGCCCCAAAAACGAAAGCCTTAATTCACCCCTCCTCCCACACTACTTTGGGAAACCCATTTAAGGCTTCTTTAGGAAATTTGGTGTAGTTTATGCTTCAGCTGAAGTACAGTCTTACTTTTAGATTGCAGGGAGCTCTTCTTTAGCACTGAGAACTTGTCTGAACATGAGAAGAATCTCTTTTGCCGACCCTCAGATCTTTAGGTGTTCAAACCATCTACAAATACTGTGCCAGCAGCCTGAGTATTATACACCCCCAAAAGAAACACCTGAACTTTTTCAACACTTGATGTGTTCATGTCATATACTCTACAAAAGAAAAAGGATGTCTTGATACACCTGGCTAAAATGGAAAAATCACAGGTTTTTAAAAGGTGATGGTGGTGCTAACAATGGTAAGAACCACCTACCCATGACACAGTCCCTAGGACAGGTTTACCACACACTGTGGAAGGATGGACACCAGGGACAGGTCCTGTGACAGCTGCAGGTGCCAGTGCAGAACCCAACCTGCACTTCTGTGACTGCTTCTTGGCAGCTGCTGAGATCAGCCCAGTGCAGGCACCCCTGTGTGACTGAACACAGCTGCCAGCAGTTCTTGTTCATCTATTGTTTCATGAAGATGTCTCACTTAGGGAAAGATCTTAAAACCACAAAGCCTCAACCAAGGCAAAAATGTTGGAATTTCTCATCTGATCCTCAAGAAACCAAACTGCTGCTAACAGCTCTCACCCAGCCAAAGGTGGGAGCAGCAGCACCTTATGTCTGCAGAGCACATGACAATCAAAACTGTTTCTTCAGAGAAGAACTAACAACTGTGATCTGTCAGCCTTCTGTTACTTTTCTCCAATAAACTTAAAACAAATCCAGCAGAAGAAAGTGTCACATGGGAAACTATTAGTCCAGACAAAGATGAGAGTGATTAAACAAGCAGCAAGTTGATGATTAGCTAAAAACAAAGAAACAAACAAGCTGTGTGACATACTGAAAGGAAGAAGAAGCCCACAGGGGAGTTTCTGGTAGCATTCCTAAAGAAGTCAGGTCACAAGACTTGCCTTTTAATACTTTCATTAACAATCTTGACAGAAAACTAATGGAACTGTCCTCAAGAAATCTGTAATTACAAGTTAGTAAGAAGCATAAGATGTAGTAAAAAGTATGAAGAGTATACAGAAACCAGAGATGAGGGAACAAAGCTTACACCTGGCTGAAGCTCAGATTAGTTCCTGCCTCCTCAAAGTTTACCAGTTACAAATGTAGAAGGAAGGAAAAATACCAGGGAGAGAGAAATTTTGCAGGATGTGTCAAAAAGCTCACAGAAATGGCTGCCAACCACAAAGGTACCAGAGTATTTACAATGGAGATAAGAAAACATTAATACTTACCAACACTCTGTGCAAAAGACTTTATCTGCAATACTATGGAAATTTTGTCACTTTGTTTCAAGGAAAAATTAATTTAAGGACAGGTGCAGACAAGAACTATTTGTACTGGTGCAGACAAGAGGTATTTGAGCTAGTGAAGAAAAAGCTGAGGAAGAGTCAAACTTATTTTGAAGGATTTCTTACTTTTCATCATAGCAAAGAACCATTTATTCAAGAGGGACAAGAATTACTGAGGCTCATGTTCAAATAAAGTGAAAAATGTACAAAACAGCCATGAATAACACTTGAAATAATAAGGCTTCTGATCATCAGAAAAAGTGATTCTGCAAAGAGGGGGTAACAAAGTTTTAAATAAAGTGGAATCTCACCACCAGCTGATAAAAGGTATGCCAGGGCTACAGGCAAAAGCACAGGACTGCACACACCAGGTCCCTCCTGCAAAGAGTTACCCCCAGAGCCAAACACACTCAACCCAAAGAAACCCACTGCCAGGAATGGCAAAAGAAGCCCTCAGCTTCATTTGTTTTGGACAACTTAGGATAAAGTTACATTACATTTGCTACCCCCCAGATGTGGAAGGCCTTACCTCTGTTATCATTTTACAGCTTTTGCATGGTCCAATCTGGCTGAATAACTGAAGTATGAGAACCTCAGTCACATCTCTGGAGAGGTTTCCTACATAGCTACACAAGGAAACAAAAAAACCAAAATTTTAAACTAGAAATTGTCATATTTTAAAATGTAACTATGGCTTTAAAAACTTAAACAACTATAAGGAAACTCACTTTAAAACATCTCAGGTATCTTAAAGACAATATTTACTAATTATTTCACAGTTTTAATGCAGTATTCATGTGGTTTCTAAATTACAATGTTGGCCACACAACTGAGAAGTGAAGCTTGATGCAGACAACGCTGGACACCAAGACCTAGTGCCAATCACTTCCTTGGCACAGAGATGTCAAAAGCATGAAGAACATTGCTCAAGAATGTTGTGCAGAACAAGCAACCAACTGGGCAAGATATTTTAAGTTTCACTTCCCACTGAGTATCTCATCAAGAATACTTCTGAATTTGGGTACAAACACACATCTAACTCCCATGAGCTCAGGAGCAGCTCTCGGACAAATTGTGCTGCCTTGCAAAGAACCAACTCAACTTTTCTGTTTTCCTGAGCATTTGGAAAGCCAGCCCACTCACCAACAGACAAGGCAATTTATGCAGCATTCTGCATAGGAATGCACTCTACAGCATCTATCTCAACAGCTCCCACCTCTGTAATACCCCCCAAAGTTCTGGCAGTGCTATTTTAATATCAACCAGACTTCTTGATTGTTGTTAGTAAATCCTCAGAAATGATTCCAAGTTTTGAAATACTTATCAAGTTTAGATAAGAGTCCTAGATTTAGCAAGTCACAATAACGGCTGAGACAGTCATGAATGCAAAACTAAATTCTTTTTAACAATGTGACTAATTTGTAATCAAATTGTAAACAAAGTGATCAGTTAAGAGAAAGGCCTGTCACAGTAACAGATGTCACAAGCCATCAGCAGAGGGACATTCATCACCTTTACAAACAAGCCTATCAAGGCATAAGGAATTCAAGTGCCACCAATAAGATGAACAGAACCTTCTGTGATTTAGAAGTTGAAAGAATAGACATTTTACTCATTTTACTCTGGTCAGTTATAGAACATCATAGAACTGCAAACTAAAGTCAGCCTGACCTGTTAACACAGTGAACATAAACATGAGCAAGCCTTTCTTATTGCTCACAGACAAATTTATTTTGAGTTAACTACAGGTGTGCTCTGAAATTGCTCTGAGAGGCAACCCTTGAAAGTTTTTCAAAAGCAAATTGTGTTTGACAGCTGGACTTTCATCCGGATCAGCAAAATTAAAACGGACAATGTTTGTTTTCATCAGAACACCACACAACCTTATCAAGAAATGTTTGTTTATGTTCTTCTTTCAGCAACTGTGGGGCAATTCTGCACTTTCTCAGCAGGACTTCAATGCTACAAGATCCAGAGTGACTTTCTGAAGTACCACCTGAATACAGAACATCCACTAAAATCCTTCAGGTACTCATTATTTTCTTATTAAATATGTATGAATTAACACAAGCCATTGACAGAAGCCTGGATTGTTATGAAGCTTTTCAGCAGAGAAATGAAAAACTGCAGAACTCTAAGACCCCTTACAGGACAAACTGTCCATCTCAATGACTCTTCAGTTCTATCCTGAAAACTTAGTAGTTAAACATTCATCCTTACCTTCTTTCTGAAATATTAACTAATTTTTTGTTAATCATTCACAAAGAATAAATTGTAAATCACTAATAGCTTTTAGTGGAAATATTAACCTCTGAAGATCCTACTAAAATCAGATGGCAAGTGTATATTCCAGTAGGAATTCCAACATAAAGGGTCAGTTTATTGCTAGTACTGGCTTCCTCTGTGCGCTGCAGAACAGCATTCATTATCACTGAGCCTCCACAGCACACTGATACAGTAACACTGATACGAAATTAACACATTATTTCTACTGCAAAGCAGATACAGCAAGGAATACAATTAACACTAACAACAACAACAAAAAGTATCATCCTCTTCTGCATATATTAACAAGTATTTGGAAAACACAACAAGTCTGAAAATCAAGCTGGAGAATTCCTCTCAGTCAGACAAAAATTTTAAAAAGAAAAAAAAAGCTAGGGAAAGCCATTCCTCAGCAATCTATTCAACTAAGGTAAGAAAATTACACTAACTGCTAGACTATTTAAGATATAGTAAGTGTTTTTTTGATCCCACCATGTCTTCAGCAAGATAGTTGTGACAATGTTGCATCATAACCTCAGCTATGAAACAAGCTGCCTTTTCACAAAAATCAGGACCACCTTGACTGCTAGATCCAGATGGGATGTGAAATCCTACTGGTCCTTGAATTCCCTGAATGTATCTGATAAATATTGCCTTGGTGCATAATATTACCATTAGTCAGAGGTGTTCCCACCCTTCCCAAGTTGCCAAAACTCAAACTTCAGAAATGCACCCACTGAGGATACTGCACAGTAAAGGTTCATGCAGCAAGGACAACACTCAGAGACCCAAATCTCTCTTACTAAATGTAAAATCTGGAACTACGAATCTCTACAACTTTGAAACAATATGCCAAAAAGTAAGACTTGATGGTTACTTTCATGTCTTTAAGCAGACTGGAGTAACATCACCTCCTTCAGCAGTTAGAGATGATTTAATAAAAACATACAAGCAAACATCTTTAATGTGAATGTCTGAATGCTACAGAGCTAAGAAATCAATATATTCACCACATTAGGAGCAGACACCTCACCTTTCTGGAAACACAAAACCTGGCTCAGCTGATGCTAATCTCCCACCACACATGGCCAGCCTATGGTCAGCTTTCCCCTGTCCAGCTCCATTTCCACGTGATGGAACACAGCAGCACTTCTACTTCACTAAACCAAAATTATCCACAAAATTATCCACCACACCTCAAGAAACCAGAAGACTCCTAACACGCCATTGTACTGCATTTCAACCTTTTTGGACTGATATATTCTAGAGGGTGTATTATGCAAACTTTTTTGAAATGATGAAACCCAGCAAGGCAGAAGCACTTACTAAACTCTTATAGGTGGTCTGAGATGATGTGACAGGGCAGCAAAAGCTGTGGCTTTTTGCACACAGGCAATAGTGTTTGCTACTGAAGCACTCAAACACCAATTAGCGTTTGAGTGCTTCAGGCAGCTCAAACAAAACCCCAACAGCAGCTACAAAAAAACCCCAACAACCTACAGCCAGATAGATGTCCTGACACACATATTGATCTATTACACTTCCGAATGCTGCTGACAACACAAAGAATAACAAACTGCTTGAAATTCAGAGATGATGTAGAACTATTTAAGGAACACAAGTCATGCATCAGTCCATAATGAGTTTTGGAACACAACTCTTCAGCTTGAGCAGCAAAACTCTCTTTTTGAAGGTAAATAGGTTTGGATTGCATCCTAAACAGGGAGGTAAGAAAGGGACATTTACAACCACTACTTTTAGGTACACAAAACTCCTTTACACTCTATTTTGGAGGAAAGATAGTAAATTTGATTTCTCTCTCACACAGGCAACACACAAGTAACGGCAGTTTCCGTATTTAAAGAGGAAATAATGATAAGCAATAAGGTAAGTGATGGGCTTAAGAGCCCATAGAAATTCTAGAAACTCTGCCTAGTGCTTGTGAGCTACTGGAAATAAAATGATACCAAGAATAATCCACTATGCAGCCTCCTCCAGGAGACAACATTCCTGCACAGAGCTGAACTGAGAGGAAGTTCAAGAGAAATGAATCCGGGTGAAGCTTTACTCCTGCACCTTATCCACATTCCAGACCTGGAATACAGCACAGCAAGGCTGATGAGACAGCAGCTGCAGGCACGCAGTGACTTCAGACAGTCCCTGACCAAACCACACAAAACATTTCTAAAAACTTCAACAACAATATACAACTTTGCAACTTTCCTGGCTGCCTGTGAGAACTGATAACATTAGCAACACATCAGGTTTCTGATAGTTTAGTTTTCACTTAAAAGTAGAAGCAGGATTTTGATACAGCCTGTGAAATCTAACTACTCACAGAGAACAGAGCTTTCAAGTGTTCTATTAAAACAAAAAACAACCCAAAAAAAATCAGAAGCTCACAGCTCATCTTAGGACCAGCTAAAAAATTACATGTGGCAAATCACGCAGAAAGGCCCCTACTCCTGGAAAGTTTTTTGGCAGAAATAGCTAAGGTTATTCTTCACGTTTCTATAAAGTTAAGAAATAAAAATGCAAACAGTGTCAGCATTCTATATTAAGCCTCAGAAAATATTCTGAATTCTTAGAGGTTTATGACTGCCCTATCATGACAACATAACAGCCCTGTAAGTACTGCAAATTGAAACAATCCTCATTCCCGAGCTGGTTAAGATGGGCATAAATGTTGAGTGAACAGTGGTAAGGTAGGTTTTGCTTTTTATAAGTAAAAAAAATGGCTTGCGGCTGTTAAAAAATAAAATTCCTTCCTAATTTACAGATTTTGGATCTCACTTATTCCTTCAGGAGTGAAAAACTAAGACATTCAAAAAGTACTGCTTACACTACCAACCAAGTGCTTTGGCACATGGTGAAATACCTACTGAAACAATTTGTTCTTCATTTTCTCCCCCCTCCCCCTCCCCAAATAAACCAAACAATGAAAACTTAGAAGTTCAACTAACAATATTTTTATTTGTTTTTCCTGGGGGACAGTGAGTTTTATTTATGAGATCACAACTGTTCTATAGAAAAAACAGTGCTCAGGATAATAATCCTTAAAACATGCCTTGCTATTCTAAATTTAAAGATATTTCAGATAAAAAGTAGGGACGAGAAGGTAAAATGTAAAAAATGCTACAGCAAAATTTTTGTCTTCCAAGCAAAAAGCCTCCAGATAATTACAGGAAAGTAACCCTTTGTGATTGTGGTTACTACAGAACTGCTAGGAAATTCATGTGCATGCTGTTTATTAGTTTAACAAATGAAACAGTCACACGTGTGCAATAATCCATCTGGGGCAGCTGCAGAGATGCTAGTTCAGACATCTTAGC